GTATAGCCTTCGTCCTATTGAATCTGACAAGTTCAGATCCGAGTGTGTCTTGTTTTACAAGAATTCATAATTTGTATGAAATTGGACTTGTATATATTGAATCACTGGCAAGACCTTTGCTTCCTTAGACTCAGTTATGGAATGATACCAAGTTCATAAACGAACTATTGATTCATCACCCTCCGATGTTCCTTCTAAAGAAACAACATACTCAGCCTATCATTATAGAATTCACCATAGTAACTTTCTTGGGCCAGTTTACTATGCCACAAATTATTGTATAACATAGATCACTTTATTGAAATCGAAAATCGCGTGGAGCACGGATGAAGATTTTTATCAATGTAACTACTTACGGTGAGATTGCATTGATGTAACTCCTTATAACAATCTTTCATTTTCTCTGTATGCGATAAACATGTCATCTTTCTTATATTAGTCCTTAAGGACATTTCTAATGTTGTTATATGAGCAACAATTTGATCAATCTGGTAACTTACTCACAACTTACTTGGAGAACTCGACATATCTGGTTCTTGACATGCCATGGAATATATGATTAACACAAGTATGAGCAAAATCTCAATTATGCATTTCGCGCATCAGTATATGAGGATATCGATTCTTACATAAAACTCCTTCCATGTGACTTTGGCAAAAAATTAGTCTTGATGTTTTCATACTAAACTACTTTAGTATCTTATCAATATGTATTGTGGCTAAGCCCGATTAGGCACTACTATCTCCATAGATTAGAATGCCTAATACCAAGGCTATACTGATTAAGTACTTCACTGAAAACTATTTGAACACTACTAGGAAAAGCCCTATAGGTGAACTCAAATTAGTGGCAGGCAGGGTCGGGTACCCGCCACTTCTACTTTTCCAAAATAGTACTGGCGGGTAACTAGACGTACCCGCCATAGCTAGGGACAATCTAGTGGCGGGCGCCATCCAATACCCATCACAGGTAGCCTCTTCCAAATTAGCCCGCTAGGATAGAAAGAGTAGGGACGCCACTGGTTGTCATAAACAAGTGGAGGGTGGTGCAACGCACCCGCCACAACTACATTTTGGCAAGTCGTGCCAAAAAAAGTCCAAGGTTTGTAAAAAAATTCAGTGCCGGGTGGCCGTAGATGCCCGCATTAGTGCAGAAAAGCCTAGCTATGGCATGGAAAAAACAGTCTTGCTAGCGTGGACACCCGACGCCGGCAATATGACGCCATTGTTAAAAAATAGTGGTGGCGTTGGAGCCCATGTAAGAAGTATTTCACATACTTATGGTGTGTCATGTGTCCAATGCCATAAAATTGATTTTTCACTAATAAAAAATGCATTTAACCAATCAACTAATTTAAGATGTAATGCTGCATCAAATAGTTCAACTCCACAAAACTACATATAGGTACTTCTCAACTTAACTAGTTCAATTCCATAAAACTACATAGGTACTCATGTACGAGCTAGTTCAACTTCACAAAAGTTACTAGTTAAGTAGTAACAGAACTTTACAGTTATTCAACTTCACAAACTACATCACCCTTCCATAGTGAGCCTGGTAGTTGGCCGACCATATTTCTTGATCTAAGATTAACTTCAATTGACAAATCTTGTGCCTACCATTCTCTCTATCTTTTTGGAAATGAGCTACCTCCATCTTGAGCTCATTCTTCTCGGCCCTGAGGAGTTTTCTCTCATTCTTCAGCTTATCCCTCTACTCGATCAGTCGATCTCTCTTGTCCCACATGCTAGAGTCTTCCTCAGGACATTATACCTCTCGTTCAGCAGTTGACCCCTTTTCCCCTTCAGCGAGGCATTCGTGTCCTCCAGGGCCTTGATGGTATATTGATGGGACTCCAAGAGCTCGCGTTTAAGCATGTCCACAACATATACCTCCTCTTGGTTGCCTCCAACATTGGCCATGACAAGTCAGCGCCAACTACAAAATAATGTCAAGTCTTAGCGCCAACTATAAAACACATATGAAAATTGAATTATATATATGAAGTTTAGTACCTATTCATGTCATTTAGCATGCATTTGACAATTGAACTATATATGACAACAATAAGCATAGCTTTGACAAAAATTGAACTATATATATATATATATATATATATATATATATATATATATATATACCTATTCATGTCATTAATTCATCCCATAGCCCCTAAATAAATACTAGGAGCCTCTCAATCAATATTATAGCCCTCTATTATTTACATTAGGTCCCCGAAAACATTTTTTCTGCCTATACATCATTACCTGTTATTATTCGGTATTCACCAAAACACCTCCGGTAACTGCGAAACGCTTCCAGTTTCTCTCGAAACTATTTCTTTTATCCCCGTAACTATTCTGAGAATATTTTCTCATATTTCTCACACCACTAATACTCAGCAGATCAAAATTCCCTTAAGCGTGTGACCCCGTAGGTTCGGTAGAATATAGACATAAACAAACTTCCTTTTATTCAATGATCAACATCGGAACCATGGGCATCATGTTGACCCCTATACCCATCGAGTGAACCTTTGGTTATCTATATTTTCCCTTTTTTCATGATATGTTACAAAACCCGAGCTGAGATATATCGGTATCCTCTTGAGTCATTCATGCTCATTACACTGGTCTCCTCGTTGCCGGTTTGTTTTTTTCTCGTTGACATGTTCTGGCATCCCTGTGATGTAGTCACCTATGTCTGGCCAGACGATGATCGATGTCATCACACCGAGAGGGCCCTAAGAATATCTCTTCATCGTCGGAGGATCAAATCCCGTTCTTGAGCTATCTAGGCCCTTGGCATTCTTTTCGATGTACCTGAAAGTTGTCTTTATGATCACCGTGTTACCAATGACATTTGAGAAACCCCAAAGTTTGCATGAAGTGACTACAATACTCTCATGGTGTAAGTAACTAAAGCATACATTAACTCTCTGTGTTATAACTCATAGACTTATGATGATAACATCTTAAAGTATAACAAACAAGTTGGGTCAATTCAATATGATCGTTCTACTAACATCATACTCTCGATGATGTTTGGTATCCTCGTTACGCTTAAGAAAATATCCATGACCAGGACAACATGACCATTACACAATACATGAGCTAGTCCTAGAGGCAAGCCTAGGAATCAGGTTTTACTGTTTATCTTTCTACACGTGCATATGAGTTTTCCTCCAATCACATAGTCAAGAATCACAACAGTTATAGCATAGAATATAAACTATTAATTACAAATGTGGAAATAAATAATACAAATAATTTTTTCTCTAGGGCATATTTCCAACAGAAAGGAGTCTTGGTCTACCTGTCTATTTTACACTTGAGTTTAGTTGCAGGAAGGTTAAACTGGGTCTTGTGGGTAAAGTACACAAACATCTTGAGAGTGTAAAAACTGATTATGATTAGACGCGTCCTCAGTTATGGACAATTTTGAGTAACTTGGCCAGGAGTTGTCTGGAAGATCTCATCACCATTTCTCTTAAGTAAAACTTGTTGGGTTGAACATGGGTATAGGCCTCTAGTAGGAAGCAACTGATGGTGGGGCCCCTCCACTAGGTTGGAGCCAACAGGCCTGGGCTACTATGTGATGTGGTATGTCTAGTATATTGGAGTAGGTCCACCTACTACAAAGATGGATAAAATCTATATTGCTTTCTGCAAAGAAAACCAACCTACACTTGCCCTAAAAGCATGATTAGTTTGTTATACTTATTGGTGAAGCTTGCGAGTACATTCAATGTATTGAACCCTCTGGTTGCAACGTAGCATGTTGCAGGACTTATGCATAATGAGCAAGGATTGTGAATTAGGCTTATGATGTCTATATTCCACTTGTACCTGTGAGTGGATGGACACCACAAGATAATATTGTATTTTGTTGTATTTTATTGTGAGCTAGCCTTGAGCTAATAAGAAGATATGTAATGTAATAAAGACTTGATCTACGATGTAATACTCATGACATGTGGTTACCTTAATATTTGATCATGTAATGTGTGTGCTGGCAATTGATCTAGCTCGACTAGCACAGAAGCGCGAAGAGTATGTTTTCTTACCAGGGGCCGGGTTGCTACAAGCAGAGTACCACTCTATGGCTAATACAGTGGTTGAATATTCTTGACTCCGGCAATTACTTGTCAGACTCCATTGCTCCATCAACAAGGTAATTGTTGTCTTCTGCGACAATGTATCTACCGTGTACCTCTCCGTTAACCCTGTTCATCATCGACGTACACATTGAGCTAGACATTCATTTCGTACGCGAAAATGTCTCTCTCTTGGACAGTTTCGTTCACGTGCCTACTCCGGGACAGCTTACAGATATCATGACGAAAGGGCTAGCGTCGGCAAGCTTAGAAGGATTTTGTTCCAGGCTTGGCATCATCATAACTCCGACTGCTTGGGTGGTGTGAGAGAAGATAGCGATGGGGCTCCATATTGCATGTGTTTCTCCGTACCAATCCTATATCTTCATTGTTACAATCTTGCATAGATTCTGTAGTTTTAGTTTCTTTAAAAACCGTGATTAGATGTAGAGATTAGGTGGATTGTACAATGGGCTGGGCAATTCCCAAACCTACACAGACGAGCACGTGCAACTGGGAAGGCCCAAGGCCAAGCAACCCAACTAACCCCCACTTGGGGCGGATTGGTTGGTAGCAATGGTAGGTAGACGTGTCGCTCGGCCCTCATCTCCCTATCCCCGCATTCGTGGCCATCCATCCTCCCGTCCGATGGACCTAACCCCCTTCTCCCAACGGCCAGCTTTCGCTTACTTACCCACCCTTCCCGCCTATATATCCCGTCGCCCATACTCTCATGGCACCACACCACACCACGCCACCAGTACAAGCGGCGCCTGTCATTTGTCTACCACCTGCTAGCTAGCTGCTTCCCTCTGCGCCCCGCAAACTTAGACTTCACACAGCCGGCCACTGGTGCGACAACTACTAGCTCGTCGGCCGCTGGTACGTACGTAGATCCCATCGATGGCGGCCACCATGACCGTGGAGGAGGTGAGGAAGGCGCAGCGGGCGGAGGGGCCGGCCACCGTGCTCGCCATCGGCACGGCGACGCCGGCGAACTGCGTGTACCAGGCCGACTACCCCGACTACTACTTCAAGATCACCAAGAGCGACCACATGGCCGACCTCAAGGAGAAGTTCAAGAGGATGTGTAAGTCTATGTTCACCATCTGTGCGTTCGGGCGTGCATGCACGGCTTGTTTCCCCTAACGGCGCTACTATATACTACTCCCTCTGTAAACTAATATAAGAGCATTTAGATCACTACTTTAGTGTTCTAAATGCTCTTATATTAATTTACAGAGGGAGTACTATACATGTGTCTGCATGGATGTCAATATTTTACTCCTTATATTAATCCCCGTAAACTTTTGTTGATAGTTATAAAATAAGTACTAGGAGGCAAACGATCACTAGCAATAAGCCAAGATGTGTACTAGACATGGATCGGAGTAGCATATACATATATACGTGAAACTGACACAATAAGCATGGCCATGGAAACTGGGTAACGGCCGCACACGCCGAACCTGTTGTCCATTTAACTGTTGTTCTGTTTTAGCTGCAAAGGTAGGTAAATATGTATACTCCTGCACGTAATTGTTTTTTGATAACCCTGCACGTGGGTAGTACACTCGAGTGTCTCGCCTACATATCAGTAGCATGCATGTTTAAAGGTCAACACTCAACAGTGTTACACTGGATCGGTTCGACCAAGAATTAATTCCTAAACCTACGGACAGTTGATTACAGAACGTGTTTATATGTGGACTAATTTCCTCGTTAATGGCACATCTAAATCATCCTTAGATCCCGTAAAAAAAACCATCCTTAGATGTACCTTTAATTACCGGTTGGTCGAACAATATGTTCCCATATTTTTTCCCCGCAAAAAAAAATATGTTTCCATATTTCGTATTTTTTTTCAATTGAAGCATTTAAATCTTTTTATAGATAACAAAACTAATTTTGAGAAGAAAAAAACAAGAATGGTTTTTTTGGCAGGGTAAAGGGAGTTTTATTATTCGATAGTGACAGGATTACATTCTGCTAATACAAGATCGTGAATTGACAATGATTTGCAAAATATCTAATACTAGTATTGCGTTGATTTCTTGAAAAAATATCAGTTTTACAAAGAATAGACATGTTTGCATGAACCGCCAATAATTTACTACGTAGTAAACAATTTCTAAAGACAAGCAATTAATCCAGAATGTCGCTACCGGACGCGACTATGACTTGACACTGTACCTAGAACTTTTCTTTTGAGTGCACACTGTACCTAGAACTAGTGGGCCACTCGACAAAGAAGGTACTAGCAAGTATAGAAACATGAGCGAATCCATGAGTTGACTTCACAGCTAATCTCCTACATGAATTTCTTCAAATACTAATTAAACCTCCTACATTAAAGGGAGAAAACCCAAATATAGACATCGGTTGCATACCTAATTAACCCATGAATACTTGTCTCCCGTCTACTTTGCCTTTTCTCGGTTGGACACGCGAGCTAACTCTGCCTGCCGGCCTTGATTTGCAGGTGACAAGTCGCAGATCAGGAAGAGATACATGCACCTAACGGAGGAGATCCTTCAGGAGAACCCCAACATGTGCGCCTACATGGCGCCCTCCCTGGACGCGCGCCAGGACATCGTCGTCGTGGAGGTCCCCAAGCTCGGCAAGGCGGCCGCGCAGAAGGCCATCAAGGAGTGGGGCCAGCCGCGGTCCAAGATCACCCACCTCGTCTTCTGCACCACCTCCGGCGTCGACATGCCCGGCGCCGACTACCAGCTCACCAAGATGCTCGGCTTGCGCCCCTCCGTCAAGCGCCTCATGATGTACCAGCAGGGCTGCTTCGCCGGCGGCACCGTGCTCCGCCTCGCCAAGGACCTCGCCGAGAACAACCGCGGCGCGCGCGTGCTCGTCGTCTGCTCCGAGATCACCGCGGTCACCTTCCGCGGCCCGCACGAGTCCCACCTCGACTCGCTGGTCGGCCAGGCGCTCTTTGGCGATGGCGCGGCCGCGGTGATCGTCGGCGCCGACCCCGACGTGTCCGTGGAGCGTCCCCTGTTCCAGCTCGTGTCCGCGAGCCAGACGATCCTGCCGGACTCCGAGGGCGCCATCGACGGCCACCTCCGGGAGGTCGGGCTCACCTTCCACCTGCTCAAGGACGTGCCCGGGCTCATCTCCAAGAACATCGAGCGTGCGCTAGAGGAGGCCTTCAAGCCACTGGGCATCGACGACTGGAACTCCGTCTTCTGGATAGCGCACCCAGGCGGCCCGGCGATCCTTGACATGGTCGAGGCCAAGGTAAACCTCAACAAGGAGCGGATGCGCGCCACCAGGCATGTCCTCTCCGAGTACGGCAACATGTCCAGCGCCTGTGTCCTCTTCATCATGGATGAGATGCGCAAGCGCTCTGCCGAGGATGGCCACGCCACGACCGGCGAGGGAATGGACTGGGGCGTCCTCTTCGGCTTCGGCCCCGGCCTCACGGTGGAGACCGTCGTCCTCCACAGCGTCCCCATCACCGCCGGGGCAACCGCATGATCATCGCTCCTTCTCCATTTATCTTCCCCATGCATGGAAAACAACCTACTACATACAGCTTCTACTGCCGAGTTTGTACCATATATATTCTACCGTGCGTGGTTTGTACTATGTGTTGGTAGATGCATTCGATCTCCTGTTAGTCTGTGTCGCGCACGCCGTTGCATACTTACTAGTAGTAACACAACCGAGCTTTTACAGGTTTATTATAAGCAAAGTGTGGTCATAATGTGGAGTGTGAGGTGTATTTACCTGTGTACGAAAAGATTGGCTGTTCAATTTGAACCTTATGTGGTTGGAAAGCAAATGGTGATTCTTTCAGAGCTTTATTGAAATACATATTCTCCTATCTCCTACCTTTTGTTTATGATGAATATAATGCTTCATTTAATTCATAATGTAGCGTCAAGGAGGTACAAACCATAATGAACATACTCCTCGCCTCTAAAAGAACCCAGCCTCATGCATCAAATTATCTACCACACACACACAAAATTGAATGTTTCTAGTATTTATTTTGATTGTTCTCGTCAGGGTGCAGCTGAGCCTAGGCTCGGAAGTGGATTACCGATATATAATCATATAGTCCAACACATATTACTCAGCAAGCACATATAGCATGACAACCTCATAGGTCCATAGAAGCAACAAGTCACATATATACAACACTCTCCAACAAGCATGCATATAGCATGACAACCTCATATAGGTCCATAGCATAATAAGAATACAAGCAACATAGACACTCCAAGAACAAGTTTAAAACCAACAAGTAGCATAGACACGTCAAGAAATGCAATGAGCTTCATCGTCGACAGCGTCCGCGATGAAACCTACAAGTTCAGAAGCACATGCATAAGTTTGCAAGTTCAAATGTCAAACGAGCTACTAGGGGTAAGTTTCAAGCTCTTTATCAAAAGATGTGCACACTTAAGTTAGAATGTGTTGCTTATGGCATTTGTGAGAATATATTAGTGGTGTGGAAGTTGTGTCTATGGACACAAAATCATATAATTTATGATAAAGCGGTGATGACATCAATGGTGGTTGCTTATCTCATCGAAAGAGGTGACTTTTCATTGCAATCAAATGCAAGCAAACATATCAAGAACTAGCCTGGCCTGGAGTCATTGTTGCTTGGAGATCGAAGGGGCATGAGTTGTAGGTGTCACTAGCTTCCTTGTGAAGGGCTAGATGCACCTCCTTGAATATTGTTCGATCCAGCACTCGGATTGAGATGTAAACATGAGACGGTAAGATGTATCAGGTAACGATGAAAATGGTGATTGAAAAGTATCGGAAGAGAACTCACAAAGTGGAAGTTAGGAAGAGGAGGAATGATCTTGTAGATCTCCGCCTTGCATAGCCCCTATACTCAACATACCTTTGTTGAGCATGTATGGTTACATGTTCTAAGATGATTGATGGATGGAATCATAGGCTACTATGGTAAAGAACTTGCCACGAAAAGGAGTGTACACCTTCCATCGTAGACTACATGTTGTAGTGCCAGTATCTCCTACAGCTGCTGGATTTGGAGCGACTGTCGGTGTCAAAACCGGCGGATCTCGGGTAGGGGGTCCCGAACTGTGTGTCTAGGCGGATGGTAACAGGAGACAAGGGACACGATGTTTTTACCCAGGTCCGGGCCCTCTCGATGGAGGTAAAACCCTACTCCTGCTTGATTAATATTGATGGTATGGGTAGTACAAGAGTTGATCTACCACGAGATCAGCGAGGCTAAACCCTAGAAGCTAGCCTATGGTATGATCGTTGTTCGTCCTACGGACTAAAACCCTCTGGTTTATATAGACACCGGAGAGGGTTAGGGTTACACAGAGTCAGTTACAATGGGAGGAGATCTACATATCCGTATTGCCAAGCTTGCCTTCCACGCCAAGGAAAGTCCCATCCGCACACGGGACGAAGTCTTCAATCTAGTATCTTCATAGTCCGGGAGTCCGGCCAAAGGTCATAGTCCGGCAATCCGGACACCCCCTAATCCAGGACTCCCTCAGCGACCTTCCTTCGTCTTTCTCTGGGCCTTCTCCGCCTATCTCTCGGGCTCCTCCAATACTCCCGCTTCTTCATCCATTTGGGCCTACATTATGTCCTCGCAGGGTCATCCCCGTTGCAATGCAAGCATGTAATCATGTGCAAGATCAATGAAGAACGACATAGCTGCATTGAGTTAAGCACTGCCATTGCTGGCTACGAACGACGCTCTAGCTTCATTCGTTAAGCATTGAGTTAAGCATTGAGTTAATCATGTGCAAGATCAATGAAGAACAACATAGCTGCATTGAGTTAAGCATTGCCATTGATGGCTACAAACGACGCTCTATACTAGGCTTGAACTAGCACATAGCTTGGAGAGACTTCGAATGCCATCTATAGGGACTAAACCATTGCCAACCCATACTGCCATTCTTTAGCCCTTCTCCTGCCGACATAGCAACCTCAGGGTCGATGTGCTCCTCAAGTAGATCAGTCGCGGCCCCATGCACCGCCTTTTACTTCTTCATGTATCCCTCAACCCTCAACTTGGCTCTTGGCTTGACCCACCACGGCCCTGAAATCTCCAGATTCAGCTACTTTTCCTCATGCGTATAAAAGAAAGCCCTAAAGAAGTGATACTCCATTTCTTACCCTCTTCTACACGACGCGGAGGAGGGTGAGGTTGTCATGATGATGTGTTGGACCACTCATCAGGCCACACCAATCCGATGCAGCTGCATGCTCCTCCATGTACTTCTTCATTATCCACCTAGATACGATGGTCTCATAGCAAGGGAGCTTGTAGGTGCTGTTGGAAATATGCCCTAGAGCCAATAGTAAATGTTATTAATTATTTTCACGTTTGTAATTAATGTTCATTTTTTTGCTATAGTTGTAGTGGTTCTCGAGTATGAAATATAAACGAGATTTGACAGAAACTCGTGTGCATGTGTGGAATAATAAATGGCAAGTAGCTAGATTCCTAGTCTCACCTCTAAGACTAGCTCATGTGTTGCATGATGGCCCTATTTTCCTGATGATGGGAAAGTTAAAGTAACGAGGATCCCGACAACAATGGGAACAAATGGTGTAACAATAGTTGTGTTGAACAGACCCGGTAAATTGATATACTATGAGATCACATCAGCACGAGTTATTAGTATAATCACACAAATGTTAATGTATGCATAATTCCTTAGACCATGATAGTATCAAGTACCTTCATAATGGATGTTTTTTGGGGTTCGTCAAACATTACCCATAATAGGATGACCATAACGGCAACTTTGAGGTGTATCTGAAATTGTTGGAAATATGCCCTAGAGGCAATAATAAAATGGTTATTATTGTATTTCCTTGTTCATGATAATTGTCTATTGTTCATGCTATAATTGTATTAACTGGAAACCGTAATACATGTGTGAATACATAGACCACAACATGTCCCTAGTGAGCCTCTAGTTGACTAGCTTGTTGATCAACAGATGGTCATGGTTTCCTGACCATGGACATTGGATATCATTGATAATGGGATTACATCATTAGGAGAATGATGTGATGGACAAGACCCAATCGTAAGCATAGCACAAGATCGTGTAGTTCATTTGCTAAAAGCTTTTCTAATGTCAAGTATCATTTTCTTAGACCATGAGATTGTGCAACTCCCGGATACCGTAGGAATGCTTTGGGTGTACCAAACGTCACAACGTAACTGGGTGGCTATAAAGGTGCACTACAAGTATCTCTAAAAGCGTCTGTTGGGTTGGCACGAATCAAGACTGGGATTTGTCACTCCGTATGACGGAGAGGTATCTCTGGGCCCACTCGGTAATGCATCATCATAATGAGCTCAATGTGACTAAGTAGTTAGTCACGGGATCATGCATTACTGAACGAGTAAAGTGACTTGCCGGTAATGAGATTGAACGAGGTATTGGGATACCGACGATCGAATCTCGGGCAACTAAAGTACTGATTGACAAAGGGAATTGTATACGGGATTGCTTGAATCCTCGACATTGTGGTTCATCCGATGAGATCATCGTGGAACATGTGGGAGCCAACATGGGTATCTAGATCCCGCTGTTGGTTATTGGCCGGAGACATGTGGGAGATTCACCCCTTGCCCCTAACGCAGCCCTCCCCCTCTCCAACTCCACCTCCTCCTCAGTAGTGCTTGACGAAGCCCTGCCGGAGAACTGCAAGCTCCACCACCACGCCGTCATGCTGCCGGAGCTCTCGCTCAACTTATCCTCTCCCCTTGCTGAATCAAGAAGGATGAGACGTCCCCGGGTTGTACGTGTGTTGGACGCGGAGGCGGCGTCCATTCGGCGTTAGATCGGATCTTCCGCGATTTGATTCGCCGCGAGTACGACTCCCTTATCCGCATTCTAGTGACGCTTCCGCTTAGCGATCTTCAAAGGTATGAATATGCTCATCCTCTCCCTCTCTTGTTGCTAGAATCTCCATAGATTGATCTTGGTGATGCGTAGAAAATTTTGAATTATTTCTATGTTCCGCAACAGTGGCATCATGAGTTAGGTCTATGCGTAGATTATATGCACGAGTAGAACACAAAGTAGTTGTGGGCGATGATTTGTTCAATTTGCTTACCGTTACTAGTCTTATCTTGATTCGGCGACATTGTGGGATGAAGCGACCCGGACCGACCTTACACATACGCTTACGTGAGACAGGTTCCACCGACGGACAAGCACTTGTTGCATAAAGGTGGCTAGCGGGTGCCAGTCTCTCCCACTTTAGTCGGATCGGATTCGATGAAAAGGGTCCTTATGAAGGGTAAATAGCAATTGGCATATCACCGTTGTGGCTCTTGCGTAGGTAAGAAACGTTCTTGCTAGAAACACATAGCAGCCATGTAAAACATGCAACAACAATTAGAGGACGTCTAACTTGTTTTTGCAGGGTATGCTATGTGATGTGATATGGCCAAAAGAATGTGATGAATGATATGTGATGTATGAGATTGATCATGTTCTTGTAATAGGAATCACGACTTGCATGTCGATGAGTATGACAACCGCAGGAGCCATAGGAGTTGTCTTAATTTGTTGTATGACCTGCGTGTCATTGAAAACACCATGTAATTACTTTACTTTATTGCAAACCATTAGCCATAGTAGTA